TGTTGAATAAACAGAGGAAAGGACAAAATAAGAGCCTGATATTGGGCTTGGTAAGACCGGTTAGTTTGAACTAATTAGTTGTACACCATTTTATTTTAATTAATTTATGTAGAATTAGAATAGGGTGAATGATGAGAGGTCGTTGTCATGTATGCATATTATATAGATGGTAAGAACAAGTCTTGTGAAATTATATTTTGGAACAAAAGATGATAAGCCTTGACCTTGTCATACACATTCATCTTCTCCATCTCTTTTTTATATTTAATTGTTTGCTTATATGCATGTGTTCTTTTGATGTTCAGCGATTGATTTGGTTCTCATTCCTTTGCGTGAGAACAATGTTATTGTGGGTATGGAGTGGCTAAGCCCTAATGGGGGTGGTGATCGATTGTGAGCAACACTTAATTCGGATTCAAACCTTAAGTTGGAAAGAGTTAGTGGTTCAGGGAGAGAGCTCAACGTGGGCCAATCTTATGTTCAACAGTGAGGGTCAGACGCTATATTTAGCAGGGTTGTTCCGGATTTGTAATCTATGTTATGGATACTCGAGATAAGAGTAAGGCGATTGTTAGTGATGCAAATTTGACCCGCAGATTCGGAGACATGACCCTAACGGGGCGGGCATTCCCCGACTTGATGGGTAACGGATCGGGGATGGAGGTTAAATTTTATACCCGAAACAGGGACGGGACGAGAACAGATATAGCATTATCCGCCCTATTTAATACCTTATTCTATATATACCCATGAAAAATAAATATAAAGGATTTTATTATGCTTCTAGATGAAACATGCGAATTTCCTCATAATGTTTACTAAGAAGTTGAAGGATAAATATGGGTTGATGGTGCTAGGACTATATATATATAGAAGATAGACTCTTCACGTTAGATTTTCTTTTCAGCGATGTGAGACAAAACATTTAAAATATTGATTGCCTCGTTTGCCTCAAAGGAATACAATATCTACATAAGAATACAATATCGACAAAAATATAAAACTGGATTATATGGTTTTATATTGGTGTTAACTAAGTGTAATACCTGAGTATTACACTGTTTGATTAAAAAAATATATTAAAATATAAATATTAAATATATTTTTTTTAAATAAAATTTTAAAATAAGTAATGAGAATCATATTAATTGCAATTTTGTATAATATTTATTACATTTGATATTTTACATATATAAGAATAAGTATTATGTGACTTTTTAATTTAAAAAATTAAAAAAAAAAAAAAAAAAACATAAATTAACATGTGAATATTATTTATTGAAAAAATATGATAAAATGATAAATATCAAAACTCATTAAAGATTAACATGTGGCAAAATTATTTTCATTTATTATAGTAGATTAGTTGGCTACGTATAAGTTATATATCCACATATTTCTTAGAAAAACGAGTAAACAGTTTTAGTTAATAAAAATGAAGAAAACAAAAAAAACAAAATCAAAATTTCAGCTAATTAGAGTCAAGAACTGTTCATGTGGCACTTGTAAATCATTATGTATATACAATTATATTTTACAAAGTTTGTCTAGAGTTGAATTGTTAGGTCATTTTGTTACTTATGTTTATACAATTAATTTATGTTAATGAGTTAAAAGCAATATTATTTACTGAAATAGGGTTTATAGTTATGGCTATGCATATAGTGAAAGGATTGGATTTAAATTGTATGCTAACTACTATCCGGTGCCCACTGAAAAACTATAAAAAAATATAGACAACATACATGTAATTTGTTTTGAGGAGTGAGTTAATTAAGAAATTAATTAATTACCTAGTAATTACATCAATATGATTGAATTAGTGTTTGTCTTTGGTTTATAAGTAATTTGATTCCATCCTACATTGCCGGTAAAACAAAAATCGTCTAGCATGTTTGCTATAATATAATGGAAATGTGCTCTCTTCTTTTTACAAAACGAGATAAAGTTAAATTATTACCGCTTTGTTTTTAACCTTTTGTTATTTTAACATTAAATATTGGATTTTGAAATAAAGAACAGAATTAAAGTATATTATTTTATTGTTGGTATAAAATTTTGAATTAAATGGGTATCTATCGGATTTCCGATACCTGTCGGAGATTTTTTCACCCGAATCCATCGGGTATTAGGCGGGTCGGGGCGGCGATGGGTGTGGTGATCGGAGTTCGGGTACGGGGACGAGGATTGTAACCCCCGCTAATATCCGCCATTGTTAGCATCCTTAGCGACTGTGAATGATGTGTCAATTGTGTAGGAGTATCCAGATGTATTTTGATGTGGCCATATTTAGTCATATAAATCATGCATTATCTTAATATTTTATGTTGAATTTGTTTTGAACAAAAGATACTTAATTTGTTGAAAATTTATTTTGCAGCAGCCAAGACATGCTCGAAAGAAAAATGAAGCAGAAGTGGTGAATGGAAGCTAGGATCTTGGACTTTCAAAAATGAAGAAGAAATTTAAGAAGAACACAACGTGTTTACATCGAACGCGATGTGGAGTATTGAAGATTCGTGATGGGATATTGTCTTGCTGGATACGCGTTTTTAATAAAGAAGACAGCGTGTTGGTCCTTAACCATGCTGTGTTTCGTTGTTTTTCAAAATCTATTTATGGATTGTTTCCCTTCTAAACTCTAACTTATGCCGGAAGTTTTTATCGACTTTTGGAGGTCAGAGACATCCCTTATGAGTTGTGGAGTGCAAAATTCGATTCTAAGCTTGTATTAATGTATTTGAAGAGTTCTAAAAGCATCACCAACCAACTCCTATTTTCTATTATTTCTTCCATTTCTTTCCACATTTCTCTTCAACTCTACCCCATTTATTCCCCTATTTTGGGGAAATGAATAGTATAACACTAAAATATGGTGTTATACTATTCATTTCCTCCAAAATGGGGATGAACTTTGAATTGTCGGTTTTGGTATCTCTTTTTTTATATATTTATGCATTTCTAGTTTATTTTATCTGCTAATAATAATTTAAATGTAATATTTAATACTTAGAATATTGTGTTATATATTAAATTATATTAATTAATTATAAATATAAAGTTTGTTCTTTGATTATCAAATTCATATAAAAATTTAAATACATATTGAAATTTTAAAACACAATAACGTAATTTTAGGTTTCGGAACTGAATTTGATTTCAGGTCTCAGGTTGTGTCGCAAGTCATGTCGAGAATTATCAGACCTAATTTTAAGAAGGTTTCAGGTCTCAGAACTGAATTTGATTTCAGTTTTATTTTGATTACCTATCTCAAGGGAAAAAAAAACATTTTTTTTTCCTTTCCTTGTTCATGTTTCTAGGTTCATTTGATTCGATTTCAAGATTGTATTTCTAGTTTTGCTTATTCATAAACTAAAATGATTATTCATGGTTTGATTGTATTCGGATAAATTGTATTTTGATTTTATATGTGTTTGATTGTATTTGTCAATGGTTTGTTGGAGAAGACAAAGTAGTCGAGCACCTATAAAGGGAAAAGAAAAAAAGGGGTGGTTTTGGTGGACCATTGATGCGGTTGTGGGACTATTAAAATTTAGTGTGTTTTGTTTGGTTGTGGTATATGTGAAGATTATTGTGTTTTTTTTAAATGATTAATAAATAAAAGAAAATTAGAAAAGAAATACGTAAGGGTATAATAGTCTTTTTAAGTTATTTAGAGACTAATGATGCAACAAAATCATATTATAAAGACGGTCCGAATTAAAATAAAAAAAAATAATAAGTTAAGGAAACCACAAGGATTATCCATGTAATTTAAATAAAGAGACTAACTTCTCCTTGAGGAGAAGGGCCTGTTAGAGTGTGTTTGAAATTCCTCTTTCAACTTATAAGTTTTTTTCACAAAAGGATTTTTTATAATACAACTTTTTTTAAAAGATGTGTTTAAAATATGTGTGACTTGACTTTTAAGAGTTAAAAGTCAAAAGCCACAGAAAAATAAAAATTCATAACTTTTGAAAAAGCTCTTTTTTGTTAATGACAAAAAATTGTTTTAAAAGAACTTTTTCATTTACCAAATAAATTTTGGATTTTTTTGACTTTTTGGAAAAGTTATAAGTTCAAAAATCATTTTAAAAGAAATGTTAGCCGGTGAACCAAGGACTCTATTACGGCATAAAAACCTATCAAGTTATGAATACTATCATAATTCGAACTAACAGATTAGCTATTGCTATAACAATGTGAATTGACGAATAGGTATTCATGGGGTTTTCAAAGAGCAAGTGTACTTAACAATCCACAAATCGGAATACATAGAAACCACTATAGTAAAAATATTCCGACATGGACACAATATTATATGGGTAAATCTAGAACAAGAACTCAATCACAATTCATCTTACATTACACAGAAGTTGTAAATTTAAAACAGCAAATCGACGTTTATGACTTGTGGAGAGAGATGGGTTTACCACACATAAAAGTCGGCGTTGAGGTAGTGTTGTTTAACATGTGAACTGAAATTGCTAAGAAACACACTAAATAGTGAGGACCTTATTTGCAAAAGGTTTCGTTTTTGGACCTGATCCGAAAAACAACCTTAGGAACCAAAAAAAAAAAGTTAGCTGTTTAGTACACGAGTGGTTTGTTTGGAAAAAAATATATATATATTCATAACTAATAACATATAATACTAGTAACAATTGAATTTATAAAAAATATTGGTGGTTTATTTTAAACAAGAAGAGAATTGTTAGTTAAACATTGATCAAACCAAAATGGTAAGTGATTCGTACACAACAATTTTTTACCATACACAACAATTTATGCATTATAGAGTTGTACAATATAACATTTTAAAGCATTAATTGTTGTGTATGGAGAAAAATTATTGTGTACAAATCATCTCCCAACCAAAATGGCTTTTATGTGATTTTCCCTTCTAAACATCATAACTAAATAACGAGCATATCTATACAAAAACAATTCTCTTCATGTTTAAAATAAAACAAATAACAGAACCCAGCCACAGATGATCATTAACGCCACATTAGTTTGAAGTACATGTAGACACCAGGGGCCGATCCGTCTAAAAAGCTTCTGTGGGAAACTGTTAGGGTTTTCCATTTCTGATGCCGATATTGTCTTATTTGAACATGTTTCAGGTAATGAGGCCAATACGCGATTCTGGTCTTCTTCTCCAAGACCTCCTTCAGCATGAGCCTGCAAAAGTGATTGTTGTGTCTGAACCGGGAGTCTGGCCTTGCAAATACATGCTTGGGATGACAAATCTCAAAGAACGCATCAAAAAATTGGGATCGTTCCCACAGACATTCATCCGCTACCGTTTGAAACGCGAGTTCTTGCACGTTCCTAGCAGGAGGAAACAGGAGCCTTGTTCTTAGATCATCGATATCAATGTCCAATGGCAGCTTTGAGTTGTCAGTTATTATATTAAGGTAGCACATGCGTGATAACGTGAGTGTTTCCCTCATCTTAAGAAAAAAATCAGCATCAATCAGAGGGATGAGTGAGAGCGAAACCTTGATTTGCTTGAGAGACGAGACTGGAAATAAGAGACTAGGCAATGTGTTGCCACCAAACTCAAAAAAAAATAATTTTGGAGCATAAACTTGTACATCGATAAGCATGCGTCGGCACGACAGCAAGGACAATCTCTTGATGGAAGCACATGTGAAATAGAAGCTTCCTAACATCCATGATGTCATATCAAGCGTCAAACTCTCGAGAAAAGGAAATTCCGTTTTGATCGTTTCAAGACACGCGTTGTCTGTTATCACGCCACCTAACATTAATCGTGTCACGCTGCGTCCTAATGATATTGAAAGGGCGTTGAATGGAATAATAGGCATCTGTGGTCTGCAAACATGTAGATCGTAGCTAAACACGCCAAGATTTGGGACATCACTGATTTCCAAAGCAGTAGAGTGTACAGCATCTAAATCTATTCGTAATTCGTAAAGTCGAAGAAGGTTTTTAACCTTGAAGGTCTTGAACCCCTTGCAAGAATCTAGAAGCTCTATCTTCTCGAGCAAGCTACAAGACGACAATATGTCATGGAGTGCCTCTTCACTTATGCGCACACCATTCAAGTACAGTTCTCATAGGGACAAACAATTGATCACAGGATGATAGCTAGTTGTCATCCAAACATAATGGATTCCATTCGAAGCGGAAACTCTTATCTTAGTTAGGTTCTCACCCGAGAGTATCTCATCTGGTAATGTTAACGAGGTACGCAAAAGAGCAATATCGATTGAGAGGGACATCTCTCTAAGACAACTTTTGGTTGCGATGGCCCCGATCCATTTTTCAACATGAGAAGCCGACTCCTGGCTCTCGATGTCGATCATAAGATCAAACCTTTCGATTGGTGTGTTGTCACGGAGATACCTCATCAGAGTGCGGTCCCCGTCCACCAACTTCATGCTCTTGCCTCTTCGTACATCGAACCTCAGGATAGGGATGGTAGACCAAGCGTGTAGCCATGACTTGGACAACACACACGTGCGGGCCGCTTCTTTTACTGGCAACCGTGATTGTATATTCTGCATCAACTCTGGAGCATCCTCAGCTTGTGTTCTCATACCTTAAATCCCATATAAAAAAAAAAATCATCAATTTTTCACAAGCATCTTATCTTATATACATATAAAGGTTGAAATCACCAAAACCGAAAATCATTTACACTTGTTTCAATCAAACCAAACCAACAATGATGTACAACTATGCCTAAAAAATTGCATATGCATATAGCTTTTCATCTTTAAATCAAACCAAAAAACAGCAGATTTGCATATCCATTCATATATACAGTCTAATGCATTTACAGTGTACCATTTACCTGCTGACATACCGATTTACGGAAGCTGTAGGGAATTTTTTCTTTCAGTTTGCTATATATGCAACAATAGCACTCGACTGGAAACAAAAGCATACAAAATACAATTTCAAATCATGTTTAGCTGCACAATCACTCAAATACCGTAACAGCTCAACCAAAACTCATAGCCAGAGATAGCCAGGGTCATATCCTTTTTGAAACAACATCCAAAATAGCCTTAGATCTCTTCAAAGTCACAAAAAGTTTCAATTTTTCTTTTGGTATCGATACAAAAAAACATCGACTGATACCCAATTACAAACTTACAAGAAAAACCCAATCTTGTAATTTCGAGTTTAGTTTATGCCTCCAATTGTTCATACGTAGGGAGGGTTTACACGCACCAAAGAGCAGAAAAACAAGATGCAAAACAAATCGGAGGATTTACCTGATAACAAAAATCGAGAGACAAACGGAAACAGCAGGAGGCGGTTCGTCGAGGTCAGAACAACCACTATAATTTCATGATCTAGGGTTCATGTTTTTTATTGTTTTTTATTTATAATTACTCGTAAATCTCCAGAAATGTCCAAAAATTTTAATCCAATTTATTGAAAAAGTCCCAAAATAAATTTTATTTACAGAAAAACACGGAATACTGGTTAAAACTTCGAAAAAACCCTTTTCGGCCGGTTTCGCAGATTTTGCCGGTATTTTGTCATTTTTCGTTAGTTTGTTCAAAATTTTAGGACTTTTTCAAAAATTACATAATAACCAAAATATTTGGACTTTTTTGAAAATTACCATAAAATTAATGGATATTATTATTAACAAATCTTTTATAAATTACATAATAACCAAAATATTGGTGGCCTAAGTACTCCTCTATTGTTTCCTGACCACTCAAACTCTCTATGGTCTTCTTATGCATTGTTGTGGGTATGATGGTGAGATGAAGTTAGTTAGCATTTGTAACATCCCGGATTCGCAAGGGTAGAGTTGAAGGGCTAAAAGTGTAAGTTTTAGAGGATGACTCGGCGAGCCCATGGATAGACTCGGCGAGTCAGGTCGCGGTCATGGTCGCGTGCCAAGTGGCCTACTCGGCGAGTCCCAAGTGTGGACTCGGCGAGTAGGTGTTGTATGGAGAAAACCCTAGTTTCCGGGGTTGAGCCCTATATAAAGAACATTATACCCCTCCACAGCCTCTCTTATTCCCCCTTTGAGTTCCAGAAACCCTAATCTCGTGGAGAAGAGCATTGGTGGAGCAAATTGGAGCTTGGAGAGGTGTTGCTTGGAGAAATCTTGAAGGAGAAGTGGTTTGGATCAAAGGGCTTTGCTTGGACTCGTGTTTAGCTGTTATTGAGGCATCTTCTGGAGGTAACATCTTCGTCCTTGAGCTGTGCATTCCTAGTTTCATCATTTGGGGTTGTGTGGGATGCTTGGTTGTGTGACGTTTTGGTGTTGGAGGATGGATCTGAGGTTGTCACCTCAGATCTGGAGTGGAGAAGTCATCGAGTGCATTAAAGTCCCAACCTTTGTGCTATGAGTGAAGCTATCATGTCCCAAACCTTGGTTTTAAGGTGGAAATGGCCTAGATCTCGTTTGATTCACGTAAAGTTTGCTACTTTACGTGATGGATGGATTGTAGGAGGCTGGATCTATGTCTTGGATCAATTGCATGGCCTGAGATGCTTCTGTATGGATTCAGACTGGTGGAACTCGGCGAGTCACATGGGTGGACTCGACGAGTTGCTTGAAGATGGCCTTGAACTCGACGAGTTGGAAGAACAACTCGGCGAGTAGGTTGAAGATTGCCTTGGACTCGGCGAGTCCAGTTGGACTCGGCGAGTCATGTCAAGGAAGTCCCTATATTCCTGGTTGAGTCGACGAATCGGTGAGTCGAGGGATGACTCGGTGAGTTGGGTGCGAGTGGACTCAGAGTTGTTGCACTCGACGAGTCTTGGGGTGACTCGGCGAGTTGGGTCACTAAGTGAGGGAAGTCTGAGCATAAGGACTCGGCGAGTCATCGGGTTGACTCGGCGAGTAGGGTCTGTCAGGGGTTGACTTTGACTTGTCCAGGGTTGATCAGTTGTCTTCCAGGGGTATTTCGGTAATTATGGGTATTTATTGGGTCATTGTTGATGTTCAGTGGAGGAGTTGTGTCAGAGCTCGAAGCAGCGGGATCTTATCTTTTCAGCCGTCAGTTTCGAGGTGAGTTATCCTCACTATATCAACAGGGTCTAAGGCACCAAGGCCGGCCCTTATTTGTATTGAGATTCAGTTACGTTTATCATGTTGTTGTTGGTTGTGTCTGCATCCTGGTAGTTAGGATGATACATGCTAAGGGGACCTTATAAAGGTCAGTCCTCGATATGCAGAGTAATGCTATGCTAGTGAACGGGTAGGTCGGTAGCCCGGTTAGAGTAATGATATGCTATGTGATCTGTTTACTCGGTTTGTTGATCATGACTGTTATATGAATGTATGTTTTGTGCACATGGTTGTTTGGACTGGAGATGGGTTGAGGCGGGTCCTGCTTTGTGCTGTAGGCCAAGATACCCAGGGCGGACCGGTTGTTCCGAAGGCCCAGCGAGCGGTCCGGATAGGCTGTAGGCCCCATGAGGGCGGACCAGACGTGCCGAGGCTCGGAGAGTGGACCAGGCCGACTGTAGGCCCAAAGCGGGCGGACCAGTCACACTGTAGACTCAGAGAGTGGACCAGGTGGGTTGAAGGCCTGATGCGGGCGGACCAACCCCACTGTAGACTCGAAGGACATGACTAGACCCGGAGGATGGATCCGAAGGACTGAAGGCCCGATACGGCGGACCAGTCACGTTAGACCCGATATGCATGGTTGTTCTATGTTCTGTTATGTTATGTATGATTTATATATTTTGGACCGGAAGGTCGTAGCCTGGAAGGGCGTATGCGTGGTTGGTATCTTGGGGGTATCTCACTAAGCTCTCGGGCTTACAGTTGTGGTTTAATGTTTTTCAGGTTCTTCAGGAGACTGTGGCAAGGCGAAGGCGCGATCGTACCGCTCCTTATGATTTCGTAACGACATGATTCTGGGAATACTTAAATGAATTGTATTGAAAACCTTTTTGTAAACATTTTAATGAAAATCGGGTTGTTTTGAAAATTTTAAATTGGTTGTGTTTTTCGGACGTTACAGCATTCCTCTAATGTTGGTGTTCTTCTTATATTGTTTAACCTAACTACCAACCAACATCCATACCTTACATATTAACAATCATCGGCTAACACACATCTATAAAATGTGAAAAGTGAACCCTGAATGATAATTTATATGGAAACAAGTGAAGGGTGATTATCTATTTAAATTGTCATTCAAAGTTTACTTTTCACTCTCGATAGATATGTGTAATTTTATGGTTGTTACCGGGTAATGTTTGGAGGTTAGGTGATAGTTAGGTTAAAGAACATAATGAAAGATCTATATGTTCGTGTAATGATATTTTCTAATAACACATGATCATATAGCATCATGCTTAATAGCAAGTAGAAACTTATTGATTGCGTATTAATAAATATTATCAACTCTTGTATTGGTCACGCCTAATAGATTACTTCTCACTATGACACCCACAACGATACATATGAAGAACATAAAGACTTTGAAGTGGTCAACAAACAATTGAGAAGTACATAGTCGACCATTCTATTTCTAGAAATTAACAACAAATGTATTTCCTTTGTTTATAATAAAAAAAATATTTTTTATGTTTATAAATGATTTGTTAATAATAATATCCATTAATTTCATAGTAATTTTCAAAAAAGTCCCAATATTTTGGTTATCGGGTAATTTTCAGAAAAGTCCTAATATTTTGAGCAAACTAACGAAAAAGGACAAAATACCAACTAAATCTACGAAACCGGCCAAAAAGGGTTTTTTCGAAGTTTTATCCGGTATTCTGTGCTTTTCTGTAAACAAAAATTAGTTTGGGACTTTTTCATAAATTGGACTAAAATTTTAGGACTTTTCTGGAGATTTCCCTAATTCCTCGCATCTAAAATGTATGTTTTTCATTTTCAAGGACTTTAACTTCAGTTTACAGTCCAAGTGTGAGTTTCTCATCACGAATTTGATCATCTCCGAAATGGTTCCCTACCTTCTTTTGAAAGACCTATAGAAAGACTTGTAAAATTAGCAAAAATGACTAATAAAAAAACTTTTTGTTCTAATAAAAATCTTTCGCCCTTCAATAACAAAGCAAACACATTTAAGATGTCCTGCATATTTATATAAGTGGTCCCTGATGTGTTGTATTTTGGTCTTTGTGACCTTCATGTCATATTTATATAACTGGTCCCTGATGGTATGCCAACTTGGTTTGAACCTTATGGTGATGAATATAACCTAAAAGTTGTAATTCAAGTTCAAAATAATTGTTTGCTTTGAATTGTACGTGTCTGATACAGTAAACCTCAACTTGACACATGTGTTGTATGAATGGTTGTATTTTGGTCTTTGTGATCTTCATGTCATTTGTAGGGAGTGATGTGTTTTGATATGGTCAGATGCTGGTCCTTAACCGGACTGTTATAAAAGATATTTTCAGGTATGATGTGAAATATGCAAAAGGCTTATGTAGTCAATATGAATTTTTGTTCCTCTTATGCGTTGAGAGTTAGACATCTAAGGGACCTTACCAAAAGTTGAACACCATATGAGATTAATCGCGATCTGAATCTCATGTTCAACATGATGTCTGTGACAAATGGATAACCGGTAACTTATATTATACACCAATTGTAGCTTTGAACTTCTGGGGAATGGGGCGTTGATACAATGGCACAAAATTGTATGTTGTTGGGGTAGTGAAATGTTGCTAGATGTTCACCACCGTCTATATCAATCTAATATGAATCTTGCGTGAGTGAGAGATTGAAAGATCTTGTATGTTCAAAAGTCATGTTAAAATGATATTGCTAATTAACATATGATACTAATGGGTCACACTATAATACAATTGATTATTTATTAGAAAATGATTTTAATAAATATTTAATAAACTCTTATAATTAATTGGAAATTATCTATTTCTTGGAAATAACAATTTTCATTAGCAAGTAACATAATATATATCATATGGTATGATTTATTAAGCATGTACATTATTTTGGACTAAAAAGACTTTTGTATTTTTGCCAAAAGCCAAAGTGTATATTTTATAAAAGAGTTTACAAAATTTATAAAATGTATGTCTTTTTTTATATATAAAATGAGAGTGAGCGAGAAGCATGAAATTTTGATTAGTTTAATCAAAAGTATGGCATGTCTTAAAAGTGCGGGGGAAATATATGATGTATTATCATAAGTACTTAAAAGGTTAAAACTATAACATCCATAAAATTTAAGCAAATTTTAAACTTTTTTCAAAACACTTAATACCATTCAACATTACATAATTTGTTTTCAAAATAATAATGATCAGAGTATCCTAGTATTAAAACATAAAAATCATAACAGCAGGAGGAGCGGTACGATCAGGCCTTCGCCTTCCTTCGATCACCAGATGTACCTGAAACAACAAATTGAAACTGTAAGCCCGAAAGCTTAGTAAGCTACCCCAAAATACCAACGTCACACCAATATAATCATAACATATAACCAATACAGAACAGCATGCATAATGAGCCTTCAGCGTAACTGGACTGCCTCGCAGGGCCTACAGCCTATCCGGACCGCTCGTGAGCCTTCGGCATGACTGGACCGCCTCGTAGGGCCTACAACCTATCCGAACTGCTCATCGGGTATGTTAGCCTACAACACGAAGCATGACCGCATCAACCCAACCCCCAATCAAACAAACATGTACACATAAATATCATACGCTAGCTCATATCATGTAACAGTCAAACTGGTCTAACAGATCACTAATCATAGTAACACCCTAATAACCGGGATACAGACCTAACCGGTCACTAACATAGCATCATCCTCTAACCAGGACACTGACCTAACCAGGTCACTACGCATAAGCATATCATCATCCTAACTACCAGGATGTAATCAATAAACATATCATGCCATAATTGGATACAAACCGTAAAGGGTCGCCCTTGGTGCCTTAGACCCTATTGATATAGTGAGGATAACTCACCTCGCTAGTAGTGCTGAAATACTGCAAATCTGTGACTGCTGTTTTATCGGGAATCCCAAACTATTACACAATAAACACCGAAAATTATTAACCAAAATAACATTCTTGACTAAATGTCCACCCCATTCATTAACTCCACTCACGTTATTGGGCCAAGGCCCAAATACATAATCCTTGACTTGAAAGTCCATATAAAGCCCATTATCGGCCCAATTTACCAAATTGGGCCCAACCTCCTAATTGGGCCCAACCCCATGATCCATTATCACTACCTGGCCCAAATTATTTTATTTATAAAGTCCAACAAATGTCCAATTCCATTTAGTGCATAAACAGCCCAAAACCCTAAGCCCATTTGACAAAACCCAAACAAAGGATGTACCCATCCAACGTTGACCACCATCAGGGCGGTTGAACCAGTACGTTGGGCGTACCGGATTTACACTGGGTGTACTGGACGATTTGCCAAAATCTCCTTAAGTGCTTAATGGCTTAAGCACTTATGCCCAAACCTCAGATCCAGAGACCTAACATGTCTAGGATCTATAAAGTCGTGGACTTTATCACTTTAGACGTCCATAAAGTTCTAAATGTTTGGTCTTAATCCATTAAGACCTTATTCATCCATGTATGGGACTCAATCAGCTAATGGGACCTCATTTTTATCACTCAAGGTCCCTTCAAGAGTCCAAAAGGACAGTCCTTGATGTTCAAAACACAACATGCACCACCTTGTGGTTATGGGTATAAGAAATGGGTCTTTTAAAGCAAAATGGAGAGATCTGATCATATAAGCATAAAGTTTAGAACTTTATACCTTCTGGAGCTTCTTGTGCACAAACTAACTTCAGATCTACAAGCTTGGGCTCTTCCTGCAATTCTTTGATGCAATGGTTTCCTCCTAAATCACTCAAGAACACACCAAAATGAGCGTAACACAAAAAGGATAGGCTAGGGTTTGAGAGAGATGAGTTGATATGTGGAGGCTAAGGTAAAAGAGGTGTGGGTGCACATCATGTTGCTTTTATAGGCTCCAAACCCTAAATATTAGGGTTTTCATCCCTGACGCTAGTACGCCCAGCGTACACAAGTGTACGCCAAGCGTACTAAGGCGGACCCTTATACGCTTAGCGTACTCTTATGTACGCGCAGTGTACCCTCACTTTTTTGCCCAAATTGCAAACTTGGCCCTTAAACTTGTCTTGGATCTACATTTTAAATCCCAAGGGCTATAATCGATAAAGTAATGATAGAAGAGGGTTTGGAAATACCTGCAATGTCTCGAGATGTTACAATTCTCCCCTACTTGACCTAGACTTCGCCCTCGAAGTCTGCTGCAGCAAATAGATACGGGTAATGCTCCCGCATCTCAGACTTGGGTTCCCATGTCCACTTGGACCCCTTCCGATGTACCCACTGTACCTTCACCAAAGGTATCTCCTTGTTCCGTAAAACCTTATTCTTCCGTTCTAGAATGGCTACAGGCCTCTCCACGTAATTCAGGCGCTCATCGACCTGAATATCATCCAATGACACCGCTGCCTCCTAATCCATAATGCACTTTCGCAATTGCGAAACGTGGAAAGTGTTGTGGATCCGGTTAAGCTCCTCTGGTAGCTCTAGCATCTATGCTAACCTTGACACTAATCCTGAATGGTCCAATGAAACGGGGACCCAATTTCCCCCTTTTTCCTTAATCGAATCATACGCTTCCATGGTGAGACCTTCAGGAGTACCATATCACCCACCTGGAACTCTAAATACGATCGACGCCTGTCGGCATAACTCTTCTACCGACTCTGATCATTCTGCAGTCACTGCCTAGTCTGTTGAATCTTCTCGGTGGTCTGCAAAAGTACATCTGTCCGTCCCATCACCCTGTGTCCGACCTCACCCCAACAAATTGGGGTGCGACATCTCCAACCATACAATAGCTCGAAAGGCGGGGCATCAATGTTGGAATGATAGATGTTGTTGTAGGCGAACTCTGCGAGGGGGTAGGTGGGAATCCCAGCTCCCACCAAAGTCAATAACACACGCCCTCAACATATCCTCGAGGGTCTGAATGGTCCGCTCACTCTGACCATCGGTCTGCGGATGAAAAGTTGTGCTAAAGTGCAGTTGCGTGCCTAGTTCCTCGTGGAACTTCGGCTGAAGAACTATTCCGTATAGCCAAGAAATGGGCACTATTAGTCAATCGATATACGATGTCCCATATAGCATCAAACCCCTTCGCCATCCTCGGCAGTTTGGTAATGAAATCTATCGTGATCTGTTCCCATTTCCATATGGGAATCTCCAGGGGCTGCAGCATACCATGCGGCCTCTGATGATCGGCCTTGACCATCCTACAGGTCAAGCACCTCTCGACGTACCAAGCGATTTCTCGCTTCATACATGGCCACCAGTAACTCAAACTCAGGTCTTTGTACATCTTGGTGGCCCCCGGGTGAATAGAGATATGGGACTTATGAGCCTCCTCCATGATTGTCTTTCTGACCCTACCAGACATCGGAACCCACACCCGACCACATCGGGTCAATAATCCTCAACTATCCTGCACAAACCAGGTGTTCTTACCCCTGATCCTCTCTAGCTTCCAGTTCTCAGGTCGAATGCCCTCAACCTGAGCATCTCTAATCAAACTCACATGCGGAGAATCCACCGCTATCCTCATACATATCGCTAGGGTGGATGACCCATCTGTCTTGCGGCTCAAGGCGTCCGCCACCACATTTGCTTTACAGGGATGGTAAAGGATCTTGTAACCATAGTCCTTGACTACATCTATCCACCTGCACCACCTCATGTTCAGGTTCGACTGATCCATAATGTGTTTTAAGCTCTTGTGATCCGTGTATATGGTACAACGGGCCCCATATAGGTAATATCTCCATATCTTGAGAGCGAACACGACCGCTCCCATCTCTAAATCATGAGTAAGATATCTCGTCTCATGCGGCTTCAGCTACCGCGATGCGTAGCC